ACTGAGTATTCTTGAAAACATCTAGCCATAAGGAAAGTAAGAGTTTCCATGTCTAGGAGAGAATTATTTCGGTGGATCCAGACTGTGACTGAACAACTGGCGACATCACAGTGGAAGAAATCAATAGCACTTCAAAATAGTACAATTTCATTTTCACAGGCACCCTCCACATGTACCGAGATCGCATGCTCTGGGATCTGACACAGCAGCATCAGGTTCTTCACTGGTTCTTGACACATTTCCGTTCTCAATCAGCCTGCTTTGAACATCAATAATGCCAAACTTCATTCACAATTTTTTCAGAAATAGTGTCGAACATACTGATCTGAGAACTGACAAATCAGACTTCATTGGTACAATATTTGCGAAACTATTTTAGAATATCTTTAACTGATTCTTTTCATTGACTATTACTTCATTTCCTCAATAATCTGGAACTCATGAACTGGCACGGCACACCCTAAATAGGCTCCACATGATCTGCTTATGCTAGAAACACAGTTCACAGGCTGCCCCTTCCAAAACAACAAACAAAATCAGACTGGAGTCATTACAAGTTTTGCATCTGCTTGCAGTGTAGGTTACGGTAATTATTAAATTAGGGGAGTGGTGGTCTAGCCCAGTGGTAAAGTGATGTCTTGTCTTTCTTGGGTTTGATTTCATGGCTGCTATCTTTTGAATCACTAAAGGAAGGTTCTGTTTATAATATGACCTTCATACTTTATTTGGAGAAAAGATTTTGTGTTCAAAGCGTTAAACTCAAATAACATGATAATATGAATGTTGTTAATTATTGTAATTGCAGTACAGTCACATCTGTGTAATAGAGTGCATTTTATATTTGAGGGGACCCACTGACATGTGAGAGGATGGAGGGTGAGGGTGAGGGTGAGGGTGAGGGTGAGGGTGAGTGTGAGTGTGTGTGTGAGTGAGTGTGTGAGTGAGTGTGTGAGTGTGTGAGAGAGTGCGTGAGTGTGAGTGAGAGACTGTGTGAGTGCATGAGAGAGGGGGGAGAGAGAGAGAGAGAGAGAGAGAGAGAGAGAGAGAGAGAGAGAGTTTGTGAGTGTGTGCGTGCATGTGTGTGCTTGTACTAGGCCATTCTTAATAGTGCTAGCCCCCTGAGATACCATCCGCAGTTTAACATAGATACCCCGCTCAGATACAGTGTACTGAATTCGAGCCAACCAGTCCGTATTTTATCCCTTAATGCTGAACGCCAGAGAGAAAAAAGCACAATCTTTTAACATCTTTTGGTATGACATGCCGGGGATTGAACCCCTGACCTTCCGCTCACCTTCCACTAGACAACCGAGTCAGTCAGAGGCTGGGGGACTCTGAAGAGATGTGAATACTTATTTCATCTGTAAGTCAAATATAGTTGAACCTAAACAGTTCTGACAAATAATACACACTCTGATTTACAGAAGAAGCATGGGATTGTGTTGACCTTCCCTACAAGGTCACTTATCCTAAAGTCAGAAATCTACTGAGACAAATAAAAAGGTTCACTCCATCAGTGAGTTGAACAGACAAATGCAGGAAAACACTATCCATGTGGAAACACCAAGCTCTGCTACTTGAACATAAGCCTTCTTAAGACAATTTGCCCTTTTCAAACACCTTTCCTGTCCTTTCAACGAAATTGTTAATACCTAGTTCAGACACACTGTAACAAGTCCTCCCAGCAGAATCATGAAATATTCAAGAGGAGAAAAACCAGCATTGAGAAAGTTGTCTTTTCTCACAATACAAACACAAAGAAGATGTTACATATGCTCTGTTATGGGCAATAAAAGCACAAGGAGACTACTACAGCTGATCCTGTTTTCTCCAATCTCTGCATTTTCTATCCTGCAAAAACATTCTATGTGCATAAATAAAGGTTTTCTGTAGCTTTATTAGCTTCCATCGTTGTAATAAAATGACATGTAATGCTCTGTGCTGCTGTGTGGCCCAGACAAGACATTTTTCCTGAGACTGATTAATGCAAATGAAGAGAACGCACATCATCTAGAGTCCGTATCTAAACTTCAAAGAAGTGCACCAATTGCTATGATTATCAGAAGTTGCATTCAACGGGTGACAAAGCTGTCTAAATTGAAATCAAATTTCATAGAAGGACTTGCAACGATCTCTGATGCGTGATAAACCATTTTTTTTTACCAGGATTGATCTGAGCCTCAACCGGAGGTTGAAGTGACTCCCTTGAGTTGTGCGAAGTGTTACAAGCCTACAAGCACTGGACAGTATTTCCTTGGAGATATCCAGCATTGATTCCAGACCATCTCTGGTAACGTTGGAAGGAGCAAAGTACACAGAAAACATTTTTTGGCAATTTCAACAAGTATTGATGAGCGTATTGATGAGGCTGGAAGACATAAATCCATAAATGACATTTGGACATGTCGGATTATCTTTCAGACCTTTTTTTAAATATTAACATTGAACTTATGGTTTTCGAATGCTGTTTAACAACAGTCACAATATTCCATCCATATCAAAGTCTCCTTTAAAAATCGAGCCTGGACCCATCAAACCATGAACTGAAAACAAACCCAAACTTTATCTATCCACACACACCATTGTGGCTTGATGACCAAAGGAAGCCCAGCCACTGAGCTTAACAGAGCACTTTTAGTCTCTTGTAATTACTGAGAAAGGGTGCCACCATTTCTAATAAAGTTCTGGATGGTCGGGTAGCCTAGTGGTTAAAGCGTTCACTCGTCACCCTGAAGAGTGAGTGAGTGAGTGAGTTAATGCTTTACGTCACATCGGCAAGTCACCCTGAAGACTATGCTTTGCTAACATATTGTTTACGTAATAATTTATATTTTCTAAATCTTTTAAAAAAAAATTAAGGGACGGTAGGGTAGCCTGGTGGTTAAAGCGTTTGCTCATCACGCCGAGGACCCGAGTTTGATTCCCAACATGGGTACAATGTGTCAAGCCCATTTCTGGTGTCCCCCGCTGTGATATTGCTGGAATAATGCTAAAAGCGGCATAAAACTGTACTCACTCACTCTAATAAAGTTCAACAGGGGAAAACTTGAACTGACTTGAAAGATTTATCACCAACTTTGGCAGCTCCTGATTGTCAACCACAAGCATAATGTCAATCTCAACAGTGGCTTCAATAGAATCATATCACAGCCTGCTATTGTTTAATAGATTGATGTATGGATAGGACAAGAGTCAGGGAATTGGTGGCAAATCATTCAAACAAAAGACAGAAATTATGCAAGAATTTCGGTGAGTTAGTACACCACAAACAAGTGGCGAAATGAAGCCAATGAAATAGTGGTGATCATTTTCTATACATTCTTTGATGTAAATGAATCATCAGATGCTGTCAGAAAATAAATCTCTATCTTGAAATCTATACATATAACATAATATTTTATATTTCCTAAAGGGAAAATTCTTCCATCACATGAAAGAATAATGTGATTCAGTGTGAAGTTATGCAGGCATCAATACAGTCATACAACAGCTCACTCCATAAACCTGCCACTCTTCTCCAGAATGACCTTGGTTTGGCTGTTGATTCCGTACGTTCCACTCTGTCCTCAGAATGTCTTTTCAAATCACATTTTTTAAAAACCATTTTGATGTCAAGTAATTAACCTTCCCATCTTCAATCAAATATATGAGACATTTTACTGAGTGCATGACTTGTAAAATATTGAATCTACATGGGGAACTGTAAAGACCTAGTACCATGTGTGTCTATATATAGTGCTTAAAGAAAACAACAGAAATATTTACAGTGCAGTTTGAGCTAAAATCTAATCAGTTTGAAAAAGAAATTTTGGGAAAAAGCTATGAATTATCTGTCCAAGGAATAACATGGCCTGCTGGCAATGACTTGTTTTGTTTGTTTGTTGTTTAACGCCGCACTCAGCAATATTCCAGATATATGACGGTGGTCTGTAAATAATTGAATCTGGACCAGGCAATCCTGTGACTGACATCATGAACATCGATCCACGCCATTGGGGTACGATGACATGTATCAACCAAGTCAACAAGTCTGACCACCCTATCCCGTCAGTCGCCTCCTATGACAAGCATAGTTGCCATTTACAGCAAGCATGGGTTGCTGAAGACCTATTCTTCACGGGTCACGGATGTTGTATCTACTTTCAGAGATCCTAGAAATCAAACATTCAACTATTTTGAAATTTAAATCAGGCAGATTATGAAATGGTATTTCATTCAAAGACTGAATACAGTGGAACTTCATCTAATTTTGAAAAAGAGTTGAAATTCTTGTTGAGCTCTAAGAATACATTGTGAAACAAAAATACTTTGGATTTGAATATTCCTTCTGATGTAATCTACATGTTAGACATACATATCTCCATACTCTAGATTAAATTTGTTAAAAATAATCAACCATTATTTCTTGTACAACAAAACAATGGCTATAGAATAAAACTATGAGTAGACAAACACGTAGGAAATATTTGAAATAAGACATCATGGATGATACTTGTTGAATCCATCATTGAAACAATCTTAATGAGAGTAGCATCAGAAACAACTTTTGTCACTTACTTAGCTAAAAAAACAAAAATTGAAGCACTGGAAAAGAATTAAACTACACTGAAACCCTTTACAGGGATGAGAATGTTTTTAACAAAAAAAACACCCAAATGTTAGCTGGGGACCTAAGGGACTACCGGTATATAATTTATGTGTATATTGTTATGGCATATACACAAAAGTGATCATTGATGTTACAAATCTGCAGATCCATGGAAAATTCTCTGTTATACCCCAGAATCACTCAATATCAAGTTGGAGATTGTCAATAAATGGTAATCATATGTGTAGCCTTGATGTCGGTGTTGATATTGTGTTTTATACACTGCTTGGTTCATCACATGTTAACTCATCTGCCTTTAAGACCTCCTCCTAAAGTAATTATTGGTGTAGCCTTTATGCCTGTGTTGATATTGTGTTTTATCTACCGGCTGGTTCATCACAAGTTAACTCACCTGTCTTGAAGATCTCCTCATGGACAGATGCTGGGTGCAACAGCTCCACGTCATAGTTGGCAGAGGAACTTGCATTCTGCTCTTCCTGGAACAGAGGACAATTCCAACAGTCAGTCGTGGGGGGAGGGAATAATTACTGTAAATCTTGTGTTTATTTGTTTGTTTGTTGTTTTATGTTGCACAGCATTGTTCCAAATGTATGACAGCAACCTGTAAATATTTGAACTGGATCAAAGGTCCAGTGATTGATATTATGAACAATGATCCACCATGCTGGGGTACATTAACATGCAACCAACACAGCCACGTCGGACCGTCTTCTCCATTAAGTCGCCAGTTATAAGCAGCATAGATCGCTGGGGACCACTTTTATCCTGGAATCCCGCATAAAAAAATCTTGTGAGAATTGCTAGCAGGAAAGTGGTAACCTTTGGGATGCACATAAACTCAAATATTTGAAGATCAACTGTAGCAAGAATTAAAACAGCTATCAGGAAACATGTTTTCTGTTTCTTTTTTTTGTTTTATACATTTTATTTTACCTTTTCCCTGTTACATGAGGAGGATGGCCATCCATGTTTTCTATTTCTTTATTAAACTTTGGATCATAAAGTAAGTTAGCTATCGCTACTATTTCAGTAATATGAAGGGAATGATGACATGAACCAAGGATCGTAATCTGTGTAAATCTAGGATCAGTATCCATAAACAGCAGATCCTGGTACAACTAAAAAAGCAACTCTGCACAGTGAATCTTTAAAGGCATCACAATTAATATCTGATCAGTGATAATCTCCTGATTAAAGCAAACTGATTGGAAAAAAATCTGGAAACAATCTTTTAGGTGCTGTTCTAGGTATTAGATGAGTTCACAAAAAAACTATTTAGCTTTTTAAGTACAATTTATGAATTAAAATAAAAATAAAATCAAACCACTATGATAGAATGACTTTGTTACACTTATGTGGCTCTTGCTAGCATAACAAACACTGACACAAAAGTATCACCTTTCTGAATCTATATTTTTTTCGAATTTTCTTCACAATTTCCTCTCAAGATATTTCCCCTGGGTGTAGACAGAAGATCTCATATTGCCAACATTTCAAATAACCTTTTATATAAGTCATAAAATCTGTCAGGTATGGAATTCAAGAAAAACAATTCAGTCAACAAAAAAGTCAAGAAGGAGAAGGCAACAAGTCTGTGTGTGAATCACAAACAGATGCAGACATATTTCTCCCTGGAGCAAAGACATAAATATTTGATAGTGAACGGATGTTCTTGGCATGAATTACACATGAATATCTTGAGGCATGATTAAAGGTGCCAAACTTTCTCTCCACAACTCTGGAAAAAAGCATGCCATGTCACAACAACATCTTAGATACCTCATCACAAGTGCATCCAATCAATGATGGAGTTTCTCACACTAACATATTTTGATGACTGATTTTTTTAAATACCTTCACAATTTATAAAAAAAATACATATTGAATTCTCTAACCTGCCATTAAGATTATAAGGTGAGGTGAGATGGGGTTAAACATTGCGTTCAAGGCTATTGCACTAAAATAGTGATGTGTATGTGTCTGTGGACTAATGCTGGTTTTATAGTGCTAGAAGTGAGTGAGTGAGTGAGCATAGTTTTACGCTGCTTTTAGCGATATTTCAGCAATATCACAGCGGGGGACACCTGAAATGGGCTTCACACATTGTACCGAAGTTGGGAATAGAACCAGGATCTCCTGCATGACAAGCGAATGTTTTAACCACTAGGCTACCCAACCACTGCTAGGACGCTGATATGCCCTATCCCTGGATTAACCCCACTCATGGTATACTGACTCCGAGCCGACTAGTCTTTGCTTTATACCCTAAATGCCAAACACCAGACAGGGAAACAACAAGTACCATCTTTAAACGTCTTTGGGTATGACATGAGTGAGTTGGGTTTAAGTTATATCACGGTGCGTCAGCTTAATGTGGGAGGAAAGCCCGAAGTGATGCAGGTCTCAGACGTTTACTACTTCAGTGAAACCCACGAGCACGTGTATGGTGCTGACAAACCTAGAAACATAATAGGGGCGAACCGGGATTCGAACCCACAATAATAGGTTTCTGGCGTGCCCAAGGGACGCAACTCTGCACAGGGAATCGCGGCGCCTTTGACGACTGGGCTACCCCGTGCCCACTGGTATGACATGATTAAGGATCAAACCAGTGACTTTCTGCCCTCCAGACAGATGTTCTACCCACTAGACCACAGAGATAGTCCTGAGTCCAGAGTAATTAGAAATACCTTCAACTGTTAGGTAGACTGACATTATAAACTTGTCCTGGGGGCATGGGTGCCCCAGTCGTCTAAGGCCCTGCAATTCACTGTGTAGAGTTGTGGGTTCGATCACCAGTTCGCCTCGATTATGTTTCTAGGTTTGTCAGCACCATTCCTGTTCCCGTGGGATTCACCGAAGTGGTAAACATCTAACACTAGCATCACTTCGGGCCTTCCTCCAACATCAACTCATAACATTAACTAATCAGACACTCATAATGGTGTAAGAAAGATTTGGATGTAACTTGCTAGGACTGCCAATTTGCCCCAGGTTAATCCCCTTAGATATATATACAGTCGATGTGCAGACCTGAACCCAAGTATGTAGCTGGACAAGCAAACGCTTTGACCACTGGGCTCCAGTCAGTGCTCCAGTCAGTGCTCCAGTCAAGGGTCCAGTCAGGGTCCAGTCAGGGTCCAGTCAGTGCTCCAGTCAAGGGTCCAGTCAGTGCTCCAGTCAAGGGTCCAGTCAGGGCTCCAGTCAGGGCTCCAGGCAAGGGTCCAGTCAAGGGTCCAGTCAAGGGTCCAGTCAGGGTCCAGTCAAGGGTCCAGTCAAGGGTCCAGTCAGGGCTCCAGTCAAGGGTCCAGTCAAGGGTCCAGTCAGGGTCCAGTCAGGGTCCAGTCAGTGCTCCAGTCAGTGCTCCAGTCAGGGTCCAGTCAGGGTCCAGTCAGGGGTCCAGTCAAAGGTCCAATCAAAGGTCCATTCAGGGTCCATTCAGGGTCCAGTCAAGGGTCCACTCAAGGCTCCACCCAGGGCTCCACTCAAGGCTCCAATCAGGACTCCACTCAGGGCTTTATTCAAGGCTCCAGCAACACTTTCCACATGCTGACAAGAACAGATTCACATTCAGCAATCAGTGTTAATTACTGTTGTCAGTTTGCTGTCGAGGTCAGATGTCTTCCTCTGACTCTCCCAAGTTGTTGTAGAATATTGGATCAATTGTCCATACACAGACTGTGACCTTCATTAATGATACACTGATAATCACTGGTGGGGTCAGATTGCTACTCATCCACTCATCCATATGCTCCAACTGCTGATAGAGACGTGACGTAGAGACCAGTTAGGATCTAATTGCTTTTTATCACGCTTCACTGACTCGGATTTCGCCACATGTTTCTTTAGAAAGGAATTCTTAGCACTTTTCAATCACACTGAATTCCTTACACTCACAAGTGCCAAAATTTAAATGTCTACTTCAATGGAGAGGATTTCAAAATTCCTCAAAATTCAGGCAAACTTTTCATAGCATTTCAACAGCAAGGATATAACAGCAAGTTTTTAAGGTCTATAAAAAACATTTATTGAATATTTCTCCTCATGAACAGAAAAGCTGAGAGACTGTGTGACAAAAAATATTTCTTTGAGCCAGGTTATTCAGTGTACAAAAATGCACATGTCAATTATTCACTGGTGTTTGCACGTTGAGAAGTTCTCATCGCTTCTCGAAATGTTTTCAAATGAACAATTCATTACAAGAACACACCACCAAAGTGATGCAACTGGGTAATGGTGTGTCACTGACACACATATAGGCCTGTTGAGTTTGCAGTCCATATATTATTTATCTGGTGGAAGGTTAAAAGGTAAATTGAGAGAGCCCTTACCTCATTGTTTCAGTTTGGGATTTCAACCATTAGAATGTGTAAAGAAACTTGATGAACTGTCAGTGAGTTGGGTTTAATGCCACTTTGAACAGTATTCCAGTTGTATCATGGCGTGTCAGCTTGATGTGAGAGGAAAGCCCGCAGGTCTCAGATGTTTACCACTTTGGTGAAACCCATGAGCATGAGTATGGTGCTCACAAATCTAGAAACATAATCAGGGCAAACTGGGATTTGAACCCACAACCATAGGATTTGGGGATGCAACTCTGCACAGCGCCAGAGATGAATGGGCCATCCGTGCCCCCTGATGAAGTGTGTATTGGAGATAATTTAGAATTAAAAGTAATAACATTTTCCAACGAACCTTATTACATTTGTATCTGGATTCAAATGTGTCAGGTGCGGTTGGGTAGCCTAGTGGTTAAAGCGTTCACTTGTCACGCCGAAGACCCGGGTTCTATTTCCGACATGGGTACAATGTGTGAAGCCCATTTCTGGTGTCCCCCGCCGTGATATTGCTGGAAGGCATTCTTAAGCCTATGCTCAGCTCAATTGCATTAGTGATTGTGAGTTCCCCTATAGGCGCACACACTTTGTTTTCTCCATGTGCATGTGCATCACGTCCTGTTCATGCATGATGTGAAATTTCATTGTGATTAGATGTTGCATTCAGATCTGCATCGCCAGAGTATTGAGAATGTACGTTCTTTCCTCTATGACAACATTAAACACAACTCTTTGGGGCTACGAATATATTAAGTGTAACTGCATTTGTTGAGCTCAGTGTTTTGAGTGGGAAACACTGATACTAGCTGTTGAACAAAGTATAGCCCTGTATATGCTCAAACGTTTTAGTTTGTTAAAGGGGAAGTGTACACGCAAAAATCACTTTCTTTCTTTTTCTAAACAAAACGCAATTTTAGAATTAATTAGTATCTGTGTTTGAAAATATACACTCATTTTTTTCACAGTGAAAGTAGGAAGCTCACAATAGTGTGAAAATGATATGCCGTTATGAGGCCCTCGTTTTTCGAGCTAAACAGGCCTGAGTTATCCCCCTTAGATTATGACGTAATTGGTGCCAATTCAACTGGGTCCCTGTCTATTCTCAACGCAAAAGATATCAAGTACCAGTTTGCGGTAAA